TATGGATGCTGTCCTTGAGCTGTGGAGTTTCTTGTTGCAGTACTCTCTGCAAGTCCCGACAGCGTGAGCAATTTTGTCAAGGTGGACACCATCTTTGGCCCGGTAATGGCTGATACAGTAGTAAAGCTTGTGCTAAAGGGACAATGCTAATGCCAGCTATGAATGAAAAAATAATGAAAATTGGTCAGGAGTTATTTGTCTCCTTGTCTTCAGATATGCAGATTGGTATCTTAGGCATCTGTATGTAATCTAAGCTGTGCTAAAAAACTGCCCAGTGGTTAAGTTGCTCTATCTTGGTTAATTTGCTCATATTATCGACAGAGAGTTGATGAAGGTTACAATGGTTTGGTTTTCTTCTTTGTGCTTTGCAGGGAACAAAAATGGTCTACAAGCATTTGGCCACGCTATACTTTGTTTTTGTCTTTGATAGCTCTGAGAATGAGCTTGCCATGCTCGATCTCATACAAGGTAATTTAATGGCTTATTGATGAAGGAGGAAAGTATTCTCATTTTTCTAAGAAACAAATTATATTCAGTGTGTTATCATGCCATTCATCTGTTTGGCCTGTCCTGCATAATCATTAGCTATTTATTGTGCTTCTTTCAGCATTCAGTCACCCCTGCATTCAACCTTTTATTCTGTATTGATGCATTATTTTTCTTTTACGAAATACCTGTGAATTTTGATGTAACTACAGTAGCATGTTCTCAACATTCTCCTCTGTTCATCAATTCTATCTAGCTACACATTGTACTTCACTGAAGACTTATTTTGTCTTCCTTTTGTCTAAAAAGACTCTTATCAGCTCTTATTCTAGGAGATTGATTACTCTATACGAACTTGTCTCGTGCACAGTTTTTGTTGAAATATTGGACAGATGCTTCAAGAATGTATGCGAGCTTGACATTGTATTTAACTTCAACAAGGTACCATATAATCCTACTTTTTTTAAATCTTTTTACACTAGATAGTGTGCCTATCAAGGATGCATGAGTTCATTTCTGCTGAAATTTCCACTTATCATTCTTCATTTGCATGTTCCATGTTGTTGGGTAGTAGCCAAAAAGGTGGAATGCAGAAGCTTTTCAATGCTGCATCACCATTTGTTTTGGTGCACCGGTCATATGCAGTGCAAATCCGAAAGTCTCAGTATAATAACCGCTTGACTCCAAGAATCCCTGATATGCAGAATAGCTCATTATCTACCCATCTAATTAATTATTGTTGTGGTTGTAATACACAAGTACACAACCATGCTCTGACTTTAAGGTAATACAGGTAGGCTTAAAATGGATGATTTTCTTAGTACATATACATAGTATTAGGCCAGGTGGAAATGGCCTTAAATGATGAAGGGCATTGGACACCCATAGGGGAGAGGCCTTGGCTAAGCAGAGCGATAGAGTTGAGATGCATAGGCAGGCTTTTTTATTCCATTGCCTGCTTTGGCTCTGCATTGCGCACATCCTGATATAGAGGAGAGTCCTCACTCTTCAAAATCTAAGCTGACAATAGACGGAAACAACCTAATCAGTGAAGATAGAATCGTGTATATATTACACAGTAACTTCAAAACTTGGAAATATCCATCATCCTTCTTGCTGCCTACCCATTATGGCTGCTGCCCACCTTAGTTGGCCACCTTCCAGTGGGGTATATCTTGAAAAGCAACGAATGACCGAGCTACTGGAGCATATTTTCATGCCTTGGCAATATAATTTTGTTAGTATGCAGATAGTGGTAGCTAATTCTTAACACAAAAGGAAGGTTACGCCAAACTTTGGCCCATTAGCACTGAACCTGCTGGTGCATATTATGGTGCTAGTTTTCCCTTGTTCCCTGCATCTCAAGTTTTCACAATGAGATGTATAGAAATGCTCAGTCTTAAGACAAAATGCCCCGATGATTCATTCCACTTTTCTTGCGTTTCTTTGTGTTCCTTTAATAGTGATGTGTTCTAGTACTATTTTATATCCCATTATTCTTTAACTCCTTTTCAATATCTGATGCAGCTGCACACGATTTTGGATGAGATGATACTGGGGGGACAGGTCATCGAAACGAGTTCAGAACAAGTAGTGAAATCTGTGGAAGAGATTGAAAGGTTCTCCCCGCAGCCTTCACCGCTCCCACCATATATTGTCTGCACTCTTTGCCTTATGCTAATAGCACTGTCCATTACTTGACACAGACTGGAGAAACAATCGAGCACAACCAGCTTCATACCCAAGTCGATTACAGAGCGTTTTACCCGTTAAGCTTCAACTCGTTTCCTTGACACTGAACATTTAAGGTGTGAACAGAACTGAGAAGACATACGGGTTGTGTCATGTTTCGTTGTATTTTGTAAGCCTGTAGCCTGAATATGAATGCTTGATCGTCTTACAGTGCTTGCTGAGGTCACCTTCAGACGTTGCCCATTCATTGTCAAACAATCAGCGTGTGCCAGCTCACAAACTTTGTCTACTCATTAGCTGATTTTTCTAATATAAAGAAGGCCCAATTCACCGCTATAATTGTAAGCATAATACAGTTTTTGAACAAGTGAGAAGAGAGACTCGGTGCCGTAAGCCAAGCTTGATCTGAAGCTAAAAACCTGTATGAGCCGGTATCCTAGCAAGGCCAAATTTTTATACGTAATAAAAAAAATAGAAGTATTGTACATAAGTAATCATAGCACTAAACCGGCCATGATTACTCTTTGGCTCAGCTTAATTAACACGTGGACAAGTTAGGGCTTGTTTGAATTTATTAGCACTAAAATTAGCGGTTAAAATTAGTATTATACACCTTCAACTCTATTATACACTTCAACTCTCAATCCAACCACCTATTAGCAGCCTTTTGCTAACTTATTTTTAGTGCTAATAGATCTAAACAGACGATTAGAATGTCACACGAGATGATTAGATCATGTTAGATGAGATATTTATGGGATCATTTTTTATTTCCACCTAATTACGGAGTAAGTGCAAGTGAAAATTTTCTAGCCATCTGATCAATTACATCGAAATGGCTGGCCTGTTGAACGGTTTAGTTTTGTTTCCACCTTATTGGCTTTGGACTCACTCCCCGCCGTCGCTGCCACCGCCGCCACCGCCGGAGGCGTCCCGAGAACCCCGACCAAGCCATGCGCGTCCACCACAAGCCCACGCCTGCCGTCGGAATGACTCCCCCTCTGCTACCGCTCTCCCTCCCCACCTCTGTCTAAGCCCTCCAAGAACCGTGAAGCAGGCAGGGAGAAGGTGGGTTGCAGCCGCAGCTACGTGGATTGGCGATTCCCTGCCATCAGACGACCAAACCCTCTCACCTGACGTAAGGGCAAGCACCCGCGAGCCTGACGCTTGAGGAGTGCCAGACTGAAGCCCCTCCTCCGGCCGCGCAGTCTCCAATTCGACGGGTGCCCAGGGCGGTGCGTACCGCTAGGCATATTTTTCTCTTCCTCTGAATTTAGGGTTTGAGAATGTGGAATTTCTTTTTATTCCTATGAAACCGACTGAAATTTGTGCAAAATTGGTTATTTATGATAGAACCCTGATTGATTGATATGCTTTTTTATTTTGTAATTGACAACATGAATCCTACCAGCGGTTAGCTTATTTCTAATTGTTTATAATTCTCGAGTAGATAACCTGTGTTCAGCACAGTTATAGTCAAAACTAGGTTGCAAATGATATTTGATATTTAAACTGAAAACTTTAGTAGTGTTAGCAATGCTGTGAATTTGGGAGAGTGGATAGTCTGTGTTAGGTTTAGGATATGTCAACATAATTACTTAATTAGAAGTTTTTGGGGTATAATGTTGATATACTGGACAGTGCAAGATTTTCACTGAAATGCTAGCTGTTCTTCTCATATTTGTCCACTCTTGCATCAAAATTTAGTGACAATATTTTTCTACTGTAACATTTAGTGGCCGATAATGTGATACACCATCTGAAAAATATATACTCTGTTATGATTGATCACAAACAGTGTTCTTAAAGGCAATGTCATGAAGAGTTCTAGCAATCTCATTGTAGAAAAGTCATCAAATAGTCAATTTGTAATCTTTTGTAATTTTTTACATGATGGGACGCTGCTTCAACTGCCCAGTGACTGCTCTTTACAGTATGAAGTTTTGAAGTTTATTATTTCACAATCTTACAGATGAGTTGATTTCATGTTGCACTAGTTGCAGTCTAGAGAAACAGCTTCACAAGGTCACCCTTTCCACAGGGGATAGTGAAAGCAGTCCAGGAACAAGTCTACAACTAAGAATCTGTATCTGTTGTTTGCATTAGTTTCCCAATTCTGTTGTCAGTAGTTTTGGTAGAAATTTATCAGTATATTTGCAAGCTGCCAGCTGAGCAGATTACGAAGTAGCAGATCATCTATTTTATTCCCAGGAGTATGTGATGTTTTTTACTTTTTTATTTTTCTCGTATTATCTATTTTCCATAGAAAGAGCTATTCTGTATGTTCCTTTTTATATTTTTCAACTTTTCATAGTAGATAAATAGCAGCGAGTGTCTATTCACCCTTGCTTATGCTGACTGCTAACTGTAAACAACAGCTTGCAGTGGTGGCCTGGTGGGTTTTACAGCAGACAAGCATTTTGATTGGTTTGGTCAGCAGTGGAAGCGAAACTGGGAGTTGGGCAATGGATTTTAATGGGTTGAACCCACAGGTCCAGTGCCTAGTTTGGTTTGGTATGGGGTGAACGGAGGTCAGGGTTCGAGTTGGTTTGGTTTCTGCGACTGAATGAATGGTTAGGGGTGGGTTAATTAAACAGTGCATGCCTGTCCTGGATTGCTGTGGGTTCGGTCCGGATCCAAGCCCACTAGTAGGGCTACTCATGAATCAATGTTAAGTTCTAAATGTAGATCGTTGAATTCAGGTAGATAATTAGATTATAGATATTTATATATGACCAAGCATATTACTTATTATCCGTGCTCACCATTTACAGCAAAACTAGGGATTGAGGCTTCGAGCCGGAACTTCCTGATCCCATCTCATGAGCGATCCTGGCGGCTGCACCTTGCGGCGGCTGCCGACGGCAGCGGAGGTGGTGGGGCGGCTCAAGGATGATGGCGACTTCGATGCTCTCCGCCGCGCCATCGTTCGGAAGGTCAAGGACAACGTAAGCTTCCCCAAACGTCAATCCCCCAAATCCTTTACCCCAAGGTTTTGCGATTTTGTGGCTCTTGGTCCCTAATCCTGTGCACATGCCACTCCTTTTCACTGAATTCTCCGGTGGATCGCTCATCGCTGTTACTTGATTCGATATCGTGCTTGATTGTTTGTACTAAGAGATTGCAATAGGTGACCCAGGGTGTGGTGTTTCTCCGGAATTTCGTCCGTTTCGTCTGCTATAGGACTTAAGATTCCAATGCTGTATAGGGAACACTTTAGATTGAACCCTGGTTGAGGCGTGAATCGATCCTTTCCTTGGCAGCTCTCTAGTGGACAACTGCAGAACTTTGTTGTCATTGAAAATAGTCTTGTTTGGGTGAACTACAATATGAGTTCTGGGTTCTGGTGTTTGTTTAGTTATGAAATCCTAAGGTTCTAAATGGACTGATTCGATGCTTGTTACAAAACGTTTCAAAATTATAATTTGCAGGATGGTGGAAGAGAACTTCGAACATTAGAGTGTCTGTACCCTTTTGCATTTATGTTATTCTATGCTGCATCTGGAAGGAGGAAGTTTCAACTTTCAAGAGTTCCCCTCTATCAGATGTGTGTAGAGGTTCTCCAAAGGTTTCTCTCTATTCGACACGTGTAGAGGTTCACCAAAGTTTCTATGATAGGAAGGTGTACATCTGGATGTAGTTTACATGGGAAAACAGAAGGGTCAATTGTGAGGAAGGTCTTCACATTCGTATGCATGTTTTTTTTCCCTTTTTGTGTTTCAATATCTCAGCGATGTGGACATTAGGTGCGCAAGGAAGATAACCATGCTTTGTGGCAAGCCGTTATAAGACCAATATTTTCCTGTTTGTTGTATTAGGATTGTGGAAATGCTCAGCCTGCCACTTCCAACACGTGCAGTAGTCTTGCGATGCAGCATTTATTAGGACTATAAATGGAGTGGAGAGTTGAATTGTCCACCACTAGAATGACTGCTGAGCTACATGCCAAACATGGTTACAATGGATTAGAGCTTGTGATGAGTTACGGATAATAATTTTATGAGCTTTTCACAATGAGCTGGGGATCTTGCCATTCTAGTGCGACCTTGTTGCGCTGCTGCAGTATGGGTGACTAGAGATAAAAGCTCAAATCGTTAACCACAATAATTATTATCTGAAACTGCAACACAGTTGTAGAGCACCAATTGTTTGAGTCATTTGTCCGAACTATTGCAATTTGTATAACCTCTGGTGATGTTGCATAATTATTATTATCCGGTCATCTGTTGACAAATGTGAGACACTAGTTTGTATACTTTTGTCGTATACAAATGTTTTGAGCATGACGTTTTGCTTTGTTATTAACAATTCACATTTCCTAGCCAGCCAGGGAGAGTGTGAGATATCTCTCTTGCCGTAGTCGAGATTTATTTTATTTTATTTTATTTATAAGACATGCTGATTGCCAGTTGCTCAACTAAATATCAAATGGTTCCAGTTGTATGATGAAAATGGCCTCTTCTTCATAGTGACTTTATTTATGTATAAGCTGCGGCAAAAGAAGTTTCCTTTGTATAAGAAGCATGTGCTGTCTGTCTGTCTTTCTTTTCCTTTTTTGATTGAGACATGAAGTGTTTGTTATCTGGGTTGTCTATGCATAGTCCTTTCAACCATATTTATTCACATTTAATTGATTTCCTGTGATCACAGCTTATTTGCAGTTATTCTGTTGCATCACTTATCTCTTGGGCGATTTGAAATTTATGTTAAGAGTATCTATTTCACCAAGGCCAGCATCTTGCTCAGTAGATGTAGGTTGCAAACAGTGCATAGTAACATAACCTTTGTTTGTCAGATATGGTATTAGTGGTGCATAGGAGTATAAGTTGATGACATACTATTTTTTCTTGCAGGAGGTATTACGGAACAAAATCATCTCAGAGGTAAAGCAGTCAGTGGTTCTACAAGAGGATGGATCTGAGAGGATGAAATTAAAAGACCTATCTGATGCAATTTTTCAAGATATTGGGTAATTTGAGCCACTTCTTTGTAAAAGCCTTCAAATGTCTTCTTAGATTCTCATAATAGATATTGATTACTAACTCAACTTGTTGCTACACTGCTCTTCCATATCAGGGGCAAAATAATGGGTCAAATATCAGATGAGGTATGGAATGTCATCAAGTCAAATGAAACTGATATACAGGGAACTGTGAAAGCCGTCTACAATAGGATACTGAACCCTGAAAAGGTCCCTGAGCCTTCTACCAAGAAGCTGAAGCGGAAAGGCAAAGAGGAACAAGTTTTGCCAACAAAAACAGCAACTACCGTTGCAGTCGAGGCGGAAGATGATGATCCGGAGGAACCACCGGGATTTGGTTTCAGCAATACTCAGCGTAATGATATAGGAGCAACAAAGCCACCGATGAATTTGGAAAATGGTAATGAAGCGAAACCAAATGGAGGTGAGCCAGCTGCTATCAGCAATCCAGGGGATGAGGAGGAGGATCCTGAAGTGCCCCCTGGATTTGGTTAATGCAGTTCACAAACTTCAGTGGCAGTGCAGCTGTTTCTTTCTTAGCAATATACAAGGGAAATGTTTGATTTTTCTGTTGACAGGAAGAGGAATGCTTTAGCTCATGTCTGCGACTTCAGAGGTACCGCAGTTGAAACCAGTGTAATGGTGGCCAAGTCTATGCAACCCCAGGATTTCTTTTACTGTGATGTCGTTGTGTGCGGGGTTTCTGACTCTGTTTCTGCCCTGCTTGCCTCCTGAGTTGCTAGTTGCTTGCTCCATGTAAATGTTGCAAGGCGGGGAGTCCATGAATCATGAGATGGATTTGAAGCCCATGGGCTATTTTGGGCATCGCCGAAGGAAGATTATATATTCTTGCGAATTTCTAGCATGGATGCCTGGCTCACAAGTCACAACCAAACAGGCTCCAAATGTGTTTTTTTTGTTGGAGAGAATTTTTCCTGTTTGTGTCAAAAACGGATTTAGGGAGTTCTTTTGCAAAGCTCTTGAGATGAACAGCTCTCCCAGCTTAATTTTTTGCACGTTTATTTATACACCTAGAATAAGTATTTATACTATAAAAGCTCTCCCACCTCCCAGCTTAATTTTTTGCACATTTATTCATACACCTAGAACAAATATTTATGCTATAAACATATTTTTTTTGAATATATGGACTGGAACATGCATCACCAAACCATACTCGGCTTTTGTTTGGAGTGTTTGTTGGTAAATAAGGAACGAGTGCATGACAGGTTGCAATTTTCTACGCATTGCTAGCATCCGGACGGACGCCTGCGTCTGCACCTCGTTCCTGCGCCTGCACCTCGACTGACCCAACGCAGCGTCTGCGCCCACCCGACCCCACACGGTGTCTGCGCCCCTGCCCAACCCCACGCGACGTTTGCGCCCCGCCTGACGCCCCAATCCCTCGCACCTCCTCCAACAACTACAACAGGCGGGTCACATTGCAATATGTGCAATACCCGATCTACTTTTGAAACATCTAAATGCAACACTTGCAACATACGTCTGAAGACAGATGAAACACTTGAAACATGAGTCTGAAACAATTGCAAAAACACCTGAAAACCATTGCAAACATATGCAACATCCAGATAAAACACTCGCAACATATGTGTGAACACATATGCAACATCTAGATAAACACACTTGCAACATACGTCTAAAAAATAGATAAAACATTGGGAACAGAAGTTTGCAACATACATGTACAACCATTGCAACATATGCAACATCCCGATCTACTTTTGCAACATCCATACAAAACACTTGCAACATACCTCTGAAACACTTAAAATATACGTTTGCAATATGTGTTTTCAGCGCAACATCTAATTGCTGCTTGAACAATTGGAGGCTTGTTGACGCGGAGCTCGATGCCGCGGAGTGGCGCGCAGCTCTGGTTGAGAAGGCCACTCCAATGGAGAAGGAGGCGGGCGCGATGGAGAACACCACGACGGGCAGATGGCCAGGTGGAGAGGAAGGATGGCATGCGGCGGCGCTGGAGCGTGGTGGAGAGAGAGGACGGCGGCCGGTCGGGAGCGGTGGCGCGGCAGTGTGGTCACGCCGCGGTGGCGTTGTCACGCTGGAGCACGGGTGCGGCGATGCGGACGCGACGGTTGTGCGGTGAATGGAGAGGAACAGACGACGTGCTCACGAGCAGATAAGGTTGGGGATGTGCAAATACGCAAGTGGAGATTTGGGCTGTTTGGCTGGTGTCGTGGCTCATCAGCGGCAGCGTTCGGATGGATGGACGTTCTTAGCACAACAATACCGTATTTTCTAACTTGAGTAAAAAAAAGAAAGATAGCTAACCTTCTACAATCTAAAGGTGGATCTAAACTAGACCCTACATCCTCTAATACAGCACTTTCTAAAAAAATCAGAATAACTTAAAAGGAATATTCAAATGGCACATGTAAACCTAATTAAAGAGTTTCTCATGATTTCTTTTTTTAACAGAATTTGTTAAACTTGAGCATGGACAACATATATAATGTCTTATATTTCAATATAAATTTCCAGGCCGGATGGAGTAGACTTTTTTTGAACTCGGAAAAGAAAATTTCCATTAATGTTCGCTGGTTGGTTTTTGGACTGATAAACCTAGCCGGTGTTGATTTATTGTGAGAGAAAAATAGTGTACCATGGCTGATAAGCCCTGGCTGAAACCAACAATTGAACAGGCTGATTGGCTCTAGGCATATCACCTGAGACCAAATAAGATACAAATACAAGCGTTAAATTCATACAGCATCAAATCTCTAAATTGTCTAAGAGCCTGTTTGGCAGGGCTCCTCTCCGGCTCCAGCTATGGCTCCTTTAGAGGAGCCCTGCCAAACATTTTTCTGGAGGAGCTATTTTTTCAATAAAAAGTAGAGGTGCCGGATCTGTTTTGGAGAAGTCATAAATTGTGGCTCCTCCAAACCAGTTCTGGCTCCTCCGGAGGAGCTCTTTAGGAGGAGCCGTGCCAAACACCCCCTGAAAAAGCAACCATATGGACTCCTTTCCCAAGTTGTTGTTCCGAGAGCATCACCGAGAATGGCTGCATCCATCTCTAAGATAACACGGTTCATGCCAAGTTGAAAAGCCCTTTCAACACTCCGAAGAGCTGCTAAGGGCACGTACAACGCTTCGTCTCCAAGACGCGAATTATGCAAAACAGTCCTCAGCTTCGCTCAGAGACGCTCGTCCCGTCACCTCGCGAGACGACGGCAAGGGCTCCTGCTCCTAGGTGGAATCGACGAGGGCAGCAGCGTTGTACGGCTTCGTTTCCACGAGTTGACCCTGCGCTCGGATACCGTGCATGCGCTCGGATACCGTGCAGGCGCTCGCGTGCTCTAGTTTTGGTGCTCGCGGGATTTCTTTGGTAGACGGTGACTGTGCTCTAGTTTTGGTGCTTGCAAGATCCAGCACCTTCCTTGCGCCGCCGCCGCCCGCTGCCGGAGATGCCAAGCCCGACGATCCTGAGCGCCACCGACGGTGCCCGAGCCTTCATCGCGAGATCCACAGCGCCGTCGTCGTGCCACTGCCGCCGCTGCCGGAGATGCGAAGCCCGACGATCCCGAGGCTAGACGCAACCTCGCCAGTGCTGGTGGACACTGACATCGCGGCGATCTCGGCCTCTGGCATCCCCATGCTGTTTTCATAATGTGAAATGCTAGCTGTTTTTGGCTGACCCGGGGCTATAAGGATGCCTTGTAGATATTTCTAGTGAAATTTTTATTGAAGTCAAATCTGTATCAGTTGCCTGCGCTATGGAAAGAAAAAAAATTAGACAAAAGATGTTTCAATTATATAGATATATTGACGATTTAAAAAAATTATAATCATGTTCATCTTATTTAAGCTTAATCCATTTTTTATCAATTAGCAACACAATGGTGTACAAAATAGTGTTCACAATTCATTTAGGCCACATGCGTAGCATTAAATAGTGTGTAGTAAAACAGACAGCCTATTGTACGACCTGTCTTTTTAGCTGTCTTTATGTTGGATTCGAGGTCCATGGAAACGACCCCTGTCTGTGGATTGAACATGCCCTAACGTTTCAGCATTTAAAGCGTCGAGTGAGATCAAGTTCGGTCGGGTCAAACAAAACGATCGGAACTGACACGAGCACAATGTCTTGACCATCTCGAGTCTTCTCACTCTCAAATTATTTTTGGAAGTTATTTTTGAATAAAAATTATTCTTTATATCTTTTTACCCTCCAACAATTTCACCATATCTTATGCACACTTTAGAGACTAACATTACTCTTTATCTTTAGCTAGCGAGAAATCTAGAATAGAAAAATAATAATAATTAAAAAAATCTCATTAAATAAATTGTTGAAGAAATTTATTTATTTCTTAGCTGAAATATCTACTTCTATCAATAAGTAAGGATAAGGTCAATAATTTTTACTAGCATCCACTCAACGTGTCATGTCAAGTTAGGCTATTTCTTAGGTTTTTGGTTTTCCTATATCAGGTCAGATTCTGAGTAAAAAAAAACACGATCAGCGCGATAGTTGTAAGTAAAAAAATCATGACCCAAGCGCATCCGATGGACTAATTAAATCAGGTTATTTTGGGCGGGTTAGGTTGGGTTGATCAGATGACCCACAATCAGGTTATAACAGACCAAGACCATATTCTTCGTTCTACACCATCCATGAACACCGTTGATTTGAAGTAAACAAAGAAACTGGTGGTACTCAGCTTCATGTATGGTACTCCCAAGATATGCAACAGTTTTCTAAACAAACAAAAGATTTCTAAACTCCTATCTCTAAACTCCCATTCCCTGCTTTCAATTACCCCTAACCAGCCGTCAGCGCTCCAGTACTGCTAGTCTACTAGGGGAGGCGGGGTAATTCCGTAACTGTGACAAGTGAAATACAGCCCAAAATATGAACATTTTTTAGGATGGTACCAGTGCCCATAGCTACACCATCTGAACCTATCATATCCAAAGTGGAAGCCTCGGCTCTATCTTTCTTCGCTCTTCAATTTTCTAATCAACGTTGCAGCAGTAAACAGAGCTTCTTTCTCGAATGGTGATATCCGGATATTCCTGCAGACAACATAAATGATAAATTGGTATAAAGTTCAGATTATTTTTTGGAGACTCCCTGGTTGTAAGCAACAATCAGATTCAAAGCTTTAGAAACATGATGGTTGCTACAATGTATGACATTACAAAAATTAAGATACTCACGGGCTAGCTTTTCTGATATTTTGAAAAGCAGATATGAAGTTGGAAGATATCTCTTGGAGAGTAGCTCCAATTTTTTCGGAGGTAGCAGTAGAATTGCTAGTGACATCTTGAACAGAAAGGCACACCTGAAAATAAGTAATAAAACTGAATAGATCAAATGTAGTAGCTGGAAATGTATCAAAAGAACATAAGGAGCAAATTAGGAACATCAAACACAGGGATTTAAGTTAACAGCTCTATCAATAATACTTAAGATTGCTTTCTTGAATTAAAAGTTAAAAGATGTGCTATACATATTATCGCTGGACTTAACACAGTATCATCATTAAAAATGAAAATATAAATGGTACCAGCAAAGGAAAAGATTTGCTAAATAGTATCATTGCAGACACTGTTTATATGGGTAGCTGAAATGCTGGTTTTGCCCTCATGTTATTTTGGAAGTCACCAGAAAATTCACTGCAGAGGCATTCAGGACCATGGCAGTGGTTAAGTGGCTCACAATCTAGGAGATGTTCACAGCAATGGGCTGGTTGTAGAGGGGTCGCACTGGTGACAGGGGAAAGGGTGTTCATGCTATTTAAATATAAAAGCTAAGAGACATTCAAGGGGAAACATTATTTTACAGAATAAAGATGACAATATCATCCTGCAAGTTCGAAGTTATCTTATCTCTGTAAAACAGCTTGTTTGTCATGTCACAGACTTAATTTTCCCCATATTACATGTAATGTAAAAGGAAGTGCCAGCAAGACACAATTATGGTTCATCTGGATGAGTTTGGGATATAACAAATCCCACATGATTGGCAGGTAACTTAGGGTGGTGATCATTTATCTAGAATAATTAGGTCATTGGAGCAATCTGCAAAAACTATTTCCAGGAAAGTGCAATGGCAGGTAACTTGGACTGCTAAGATGAATCTGCAAAAACTATCTGTGCACACCAGCACCATCACAAGAGTACATATGAGCATCCGTGACAGGACATACTACCATTTGCACAAGCTGTAAATTGCAGGTCACAAAAGAGAAATGCTTCCCATATTTTGTATATCCAAGTTTCACCTAATAAACTATTTCCAGGGAAGTGCATTGGCACATAATTTCTTGATTCTTATAGTCTACAAGGTAATATTCAGTGGCTTTAAGTTCTGCAGTCACTTTGCTTTGGCATGTATCAAAATCTAGTTCAAGACATGATTTAAAAAAAAATCAAGAAGGAACCGTAGAAGTCTTTGGGGTTTCTAACCTGGTAAGCATGTGTTAAGAGAAGCTGAGCAATTTCGGCACCCATCTTTTTGACAATAGCATTTGCGCTTGTGGCTGTCAAAAAGAAACTCAGAACACTTTCCAGTTTCAAATCTTCTTGTGAATTATCAGACCTCCTTCGAGTACGGACTGGGCCCTGCGAAGAAAAGGAGGGAGGAAACAGCATGCATGATTTCATGGTCACTCAGGAAATTTGGAATGGAAGTTACCAAGCATAAGGACAAGTCTCAATTGCACATCTTGAAGCAACATGATAATACTGGAAATGTTAACTTAATTTTATGTATGTATTTGTAAGTTGTAACAAATGTAAGCCTATAAACACAAATTACTAATGAATCAACAATAAGTATGAAAGCTATTGGTTCAGAGGCGAGCTGACAGCTGATACCAATAAGCCTACAAGAGGCCAGAAAAAGCTGCAATAATCAACTCATTTTTATCTTAACCAGATTTTTTAAAAAGAAATATTGTCTTTGGGACAAGTGAGGTCATTGAAGAGTAAATTTAGAATACCTTGCCACAATATTTTGAAAAGTACTGCAGAATAATCTCCAATTTCCACTTCCCTTCCACAAAGGCCTGTTATAGTTATTCAAGGAATTATTTGTCTACAATTAAAAGTGCAAGAACAAGCTTCTAAAGAATCACAGTAAAATGAGCAATCGAAACAGATGTGGAGTTAAAAGCATTGCTTTCTAGTTACGTCTTCAAATTTGTTTTTCTTCAGAACGCCCTGCAGAAGAGTTGCAGGCTAGCAGCTAGATTGCTGACACTAAAGATCTTCTGTGTATAAGGTAATAAACACTTTTTTCTCGAACGTAGAGTTAATAAACACTCAAGCTAACCTGATGGCTACAGATACTCTTTGGTCTGAAATTTTTAATTTCACTAAGGCCTAATTTGGAAGCAAGGGGGAGGTAAACCTAGGGATGCAAAGCCTTCTACGGAGAACTAAGTGACTAAGTAAAATGAAATACCCATGGATTGCCAACTACGGGAAAAGTCCAGGATCCCAGGGGGTTTGGAGTTTCCAAACTAGCCCTACTAACACTGACCAATCAAGCCATATGCTTCCCCATTGGCAAAACAGCTAGCAGTAAACTTGAAACTGTGCATAGGGGTTTACAGGAAGCCATTGATGCATAACCAGTGAATCTTTTTATGGAAGTTCCAACGCAAAAACAACATGATTACATGAACAGAGGAATTAAGATATTTGTACAAGAAAAACAGTGGTCAAGAGATGGCAATGGGTTGCAATTACCAAGAGAAATGGGGATAAATAACTGCTGTTGTAGGTTAGCTCATCCAAAATAATTTCCATGATAGGGTTTCTACAAAGAAGGAAATAGCATGTCAATACTCAATTAACAGCACCTTCAGCTCAAAAAGCATTGGCTCACCTGAACCCGTCAGCTCTTGAAGTTAGCCCTAATGTGTCTGCTTCTTTCCTGATCAAGTCAAGTTTCATAACCTATATAAGAATGATGGTTAGCACTAGAGTACTAGACTATAACAAGGTATGGGTATCACCAAATTCCAAACACTAACCATCACAAATAATTTCCTGAGAGATACGAGTGTCCTTTCTGACTCAAAGGATGAATAGTTTAGGGAGAAATCGTGATCAGATGCTGATTTAGCTTTTCTTTCAGAAGGTACGATGTCTTCAACTTCATCTTTAGCTTCAGGGTGATACTGGTTGAGTAGAATAAACATGCAGTTCTTCACGAAAGATTTGAACATGAGCTTTCGTGATCCCTGTTAATAGTTGTCGACAAAAAGTTCATCACTGTCACAAATTAAAATTACACAAGAAGGCACATTAGTGCCATGTAACTCGAACAGCAACCACATGTCCAGATAAAACCTCTTTAAATGAAAACGGTAAGTTTAAATCCATGCAGACAGAGCAAAGAAAAATAGTGCATTTTTTGTGATTGATGTAGATCATACCAGAAGCATATTTAAGAGAGACTCTCTGAAAATCACCCAGTCTAGTGACTCTGTAACACAATCAGAAAACTGATAAGACATCTCTTTCACTTTGCAGACATATAAAAGCCACGAGATAAACAGCAAGGTTTCTGAGTAGTTTACCTTTGTATGCAATATGGCGAGGCACAAAATCTGCTTCAAGTGTGTTGACAAGATACTGGAACAGCATCATATTCTTGATAGCCTAGGTCATAGAACAGAAATTAACTGAAATTTCAAAGTCCAAAGGCAAATAATCAGATAAACCAGCAAAATGCAATGAAAGAGATAGAGCAGATTACTTTGTAGACGCATCAAAAAGATAAAAATATTTAGGCTCATCCATGAAATGCAATGAAGAGATAAACAGATTACTTTCTAGACTCATCCATGAAATGAATAGTCGAACAGATAGATCTAGTGAGTAGAACCTAATTCCAGCTGTCAGATAGATGAAAACATTAGTTTACTTTGATTAACAAAACAATAAAAATATAAGCTTCCCATTTTAAAGGCAAAGGTTGGTGTAACTTATTATTATTTATTCTTCTGAGCAATCTAACTAAAAATACTCACATGATTATGAACAATCCAGAACAAATCCTAAGGGCCAGAAATCAAAGGAGGTGAAGAGAAAAACAAAATCAAACAATAAAGTGTGCAGAGAAGGGGCTGCAACAGGGGGGGCGTCATTAACCAAATTACTGTGTCAAATGACTCAGATAAATAAAACAAGCAATTTGATATTCAATGATCAGTTGAACAAGTGTGCCATTTATGATACTTTAGGAAACAATAAAAATATAATATTAATCAAGAAACAGCTTGCAAACATCTGTGAGAAGCTAAAACATCATGGTGTTACCTTAATTCCATTATCATCATCCGTGGCATTTGTTGGTTCCACAATAGCCTCAATCAGCAACGAGAATCTCTTGGGAAGGGCAAAACAGAGTCAGATATTTTCAATATTTCCGCGACAAAGAAAATGTGACAAAGTCAAGTACATTGGTCTAATGTACTTACAGCAACTATTGCCTAAAGTCTAAACAAACGAGGGAAGTAATTAGAGTAAGGTAACAGCCCAAATGGCAACGATACTTCTTAATCCCTACCTAATAGTATCAACTAGAACTAACGCTTACCACATAAGTCAAAAGGGTCTACAAACTTTTTAAAAAATATATATCAAAAAGTCCTAAAGAGAACAGGGGTCACAAGGGAAAAGAACAAACTAAATGAAAAACTCAAAAGGTACATTACAAGTATACCCGTAGCCGACGAAATAAGGAATACATTTTGGCCCAAAAAAGGATCCGAATAATCACAATGGATATTTCATCGCTACTAAAACAGAGTTTGAATAGATGAACTATTATTTACAAGATGAGAACATTATATGTAATGTCAGCTTACTGAAGGATCAAATAGGTGATCTGAGCTCCTCACGTTTCCCCCAATCTCACTACTAACAGCACCATTGCCAAGGAGAAAAGGTAACCAGCACTGTGTAGAATGAGAAAATATTTGTGTTAGAAGTTCAACATAATACATGACAGTTTTATGAAGAGAGTGTTTTATGAAATTATATTATCTTATTTGTTTACCTCTTTAACTACCATCAAAGATTGGTGTCCACTAGAATCTGTCACATATGTTCTTGGATATTGCTGCAAAGGGAAAAAAATCACCCATGAAGTGAGATATTTTCTGGTAGGAATTTTGTATCCAAGAAAATCACTAAAGCTACCCTAAACCGCAGACAGAAAATGAAAGGGTGGTAGACTGAAAGTCAGTTGTGTCAATAAACAAAAGAAATGTTGAAGTGTCACTAAAATAGCACATTGGCATTATATATTGTTGAATTGCCAAGATCAACAGATAAAGGGGCAGCGGAACAAGGAACGATTGAACTTGCACTCAAGTGGCAGACAGATGGAGGAAATGGTAAGGAACGCTTTACCTTGCCCAATTCTGTTAAGAGATGGAAACTTGCCACAGCAAGCTCCAGAGAGCTACTGTTTCGAAGAATCTGGAAAACACCATTGTACATTCTCCTGGCAAAAGGGCAGAATAACATGAAAGTGCACCATGGCATTGTATAACCAACAAAAATAACTTATGGCCACAATAGTACAACAGTTTCACAAAAAAAAAATCAGTAAAGACAACTTGAACTGAATAAGTAGGCACATAATGCAGGAAATGCTCCAACTCTGCATAAGGAGCACGTGCAGAACACAGGAGAATTTGAGGCGGAAGTTAACATCTAGTTTAAGAGAACAAATACAGAAGAACATTCTCAAGCTTTCATCGCAATGCAACAAAACTTATGGAACAGGAACAGCCAGAGTATCGTCATCAGCCCAAAATACTACTCCCTCGTAGATAAGGACTTCTGAGAATTTTAGGAAAAATTAAGTGTAGCAAGGGACTCCAAATAGGGAGCACATGCTTAACACAAGATCATCTGCAACGAAAGTTGACCTCTACTTTAAGAAACCAGTTAAAGCAGAGAGTTCTCAAGCTCGCATCACAGTAACAAAAAAAAATGTGGAAGAGGAACAACTAAAGTACAAGTATTCTCATCAGCCAACTCCTGATTGGTCCTCGTTAATTAACTTGGGTTGGACCCTTCTCAAGTCCTTATTTTGGGATATAAAATTATATTGGGACAGAGGGAATATATAGCTATATTTTGAGCTGAATGACGCAGCTAAATAGGAGGGAAGAGTAGAGACGCAGAGGGCACCAATCTATACTCAGCCTAGGTGGGTGAGGTCCGTACCACGATGGGGCCGATGGGTTGTCGGCGGCGAGGCAGGCGGAGCGCACGGCCTCCAAGAAGGCGACTCCTGCAAAGTTACATCAAGGATTTAGCGGCGGCGAGATTCGATTGCTACACGGAGACGGAAGGAAGAAACCTAATTGATTAATCAGCCGAAGAGGGAAAAGATAGGGGAGCGGTTACGGTCGTCGTGGAGGTCGCGGGAGTCCTTGATGCCGGAGGAATCCAGGATTGCCATCGCGTTTTCCTCGATGCCCCCGTCCGTCGCGGCGGCGACGGAGGCCGGCGGCGCGTGAGAGGCCGCCATTTTCGGGGGTTTTGGGAGGGGTTTCGCAGAAGGCGGGAACAAAGAGGATGCAGAGACCTCGGAATTTTGTCTTTTGGATGGAAGGAGACCTCTCGTAACCGACGTGTAAATATTTATAGATTCGCTGTGTGTTGTGATTGAATGTGACTTAGCACTTAATGATATAGGATTTATACTGGTTCAGGTAATGTGTTCTACGTCCAGTTTGAGTTGGTCGGTAACTTTATTTCTAAGCCTAGGTGCTTGAAATTTGTTGTGGGATTACAAACGGAAGGAAGAAATATGTGGGTATAAGAGATTCGGTCGGACTCTAGTCTGAAGAGACGGGCCGAGAGTGACGAAAGTCCCGCTACATGCTAAGTGTTCGAGCGTGTACTCTTTATAACTTTAGAGTGTCTGAAATTACAGAGGATGAATCAATGTAAGTGAACTGATCGATCTCCCTGTTGAAAGAGAACACATCCCCTTTTATAGATAAAGGGGATGGCCTTATAAGTGAGAGGGAGAGAGTATGTATGCTGCTAAGTCTTGCTGTCCACGCCGGCGGGTACAAGATGATGATAAGCGCCCACAATACTATTTAATGTCAGATGCACGTGGGAGGTTGCGTCGTCGTCTTCTGGTATGGCAGATGTCGGTGCCTGCAAGGTGTTTTACCATGTTCACCTGATATGGTAAATGCCGACGTCTACAACATTGTTGATGTCTCATAGGTATGTGGGGGAGCCTTACTGTGTTTATCTGGTATTGGAGTTGATGGCGCCCACAACACTGTAGGGAAAATAACAACGCCTACAACATTGCTTGGGTTCTGTCATGTCATAGGGTACTGTTCGGCAGTTGTATAGGGTACGGTCCTTAGTATTGCGGTTGACTTGAGTATCCTGTCTTACTTTCTCCGTCTGTTTTCTGGTCCTTACCGAGCAGGCGTCCTCGGTCGGTTGGTCCCAGTCGGCTCTGATTGCGTCAGTCGAATAGGAGATGTAAGTAGGGGATCAGTGCGTTCTCGGTCGGAGAAGTGGGTCGGAGTCGGAAGTGGTGTTTGGCCAGGCCTTCCGGTCGGAGAGGCCGTCCGAAGGTGGGCCGGTGTCGGAAGCGAACGTTGTTCCTCCTTTGTGAGGCCTTTCAGGTGGAGAGGCGGGCCGGAGTCAGAACGGGCGTCGTTCCTCCTCGGCAAGACCTTCCGGTCGGAGATTAGATCGTCCTTCAGGCCTGTCATTTAGGTATTTTGGGTCGGCCCAAGAGTTGCGCGTCGTTCGTAACGTTGTTTGCTAGGCCAAGCCTTTGCTGGGAAGCGGGTCCATGAGGGACCTCGGATTTATGAACCCGACAGGAGCCCCCGAGCCTCCGGACGATTCGGGTAGAATTGTCTGGGGATTTTTGTCTTGACGGCGGGTGCGCGCGAGCGCACCCACGAGTGTAGCCCCCGAGCCCCCGGGTGATTCAAGTAGAATTGTCTGGGGTTTTTTTTGTGTTGCCAGCGGGGAAAGTTTTGTTTTGTCAGCGGGAACGCGCGAGCGCACCCGCAGGTGTAGCCCCCGAGCCCCCAGGCGATTTTAGAGATCGGGCGAGACGGACCTCGCGGATCCTAGCGTCGGGCGTAGCCGAGGGATCAGTCAAGGTGGACTCGTGGACCCGTCGTATGCAGCCGATGCAGTTGTTTCTAGGGATCGAGCGAGATGGAGCTCGCGGATCCTGGCGTCGGGCGCAGCCAAAGGATCGGTCGAGGTGAACTCGCGGACCCATCGTGCACAGCCGTGGCAGTTGTTTTAGGGATCGAGCGAGATAGAGCTCGCGGATCCTGGCGTCGAGCGCAGCCGAGGGATCGGAACAAACTCATGGATCCAGGTGTCGAGCACGCCAAGATGGACTCGTGGATCTAGGCGTCGGACGATTCGGGTAGAATCGTCTGGGGGCATGGGTGTATGGAATGAATGAATGAATGCGTGTATGGATGTATAAATGATTGTATAAAGAGATAGTGGAGGTTGGTAATGTTGCCTTAATGACTCGAGTGACGGGGTTTGAAGAGCTTCAATCGAAAATGTCCGACCGGGATCCGTGCTCGTTGTTCGTGATGGAGTCGGCATGGCCCACATGGGTGCGTCCCTTTGCTCCTTACCTGTCTCTCGGCATTTTCCTGAGCCGTTCGATTAACTTAGGAAGCCCGATAGTCTCTCTTGGACGGAGATCCCGTAGTTGGCCCTTTCTAAGTCCTGCCTGGAAAGGCGGAGGGCCACCTACGCGTGGTGGCGCTTTGGTTCTCGCGTCCGGCGTGCGGTAGTGGTGAGCCATACCTAGGCCACGTCTCGTCTGACCAGGTGCCGTTTCATCGTGTGGGGTGCATCCCATCGGTCAGGGCGCGTCCCGTCGTTTCCCATCCACATTGAATGGGGGAAGGAAGAGGGTTTCTCATCCCAATCCTTTCGCCTTTCCTCAATTGCTCTGCCTTTTCTTTAAATAGGGGAAGGGAGAAGGAAAAGAGAACTCACAGACCCGTTTGTGATTCCAGAGCGCATGCTGCCCGCCTTCGTCGAGAAGGGGCTGGTTCTGCCGAAGGAGGTGGCGCACTGGAGGGTGTCGTACGTCGTCGGCTTCGTCACCGTCTGTGAGGCTTTCGTCGGGATGGAGCCGTACGTGGACTCCTTCCGTGAGTCTTCTCCGAGCAAGCCTTGTCAGAGAGGAGACGCTCAGGACTGCGCCGGTGGGAGGTTTCGCCCTTGCAGCTGCTCAGGTTGGCCAGTTCATAAAGTTTGATGAGATATCTTCCATCCACGGTGCCCATACCTTGGTGGGCAGTGTCCCTACCCAGGAGCTGCCTTGACCACATGAGAAGGTCAGGAGCGCCATGCTCTTCTGCTGAGCATCAATGGGTGCGATGCCCTTGAGGTATCAGTTGCGCTCGTCGAAGTCGAGGGAGCAAAACCGGGCGGGGCCCTTGCGACGGTGGTTATGTCAGGCGGCATGTGTCGTGGCCTCTCCTTTGGCATCAGCTGATACCGCCGAGCGGCCACAGTAGTATTTGGAGTAGAAGTAGTCAGCAAATGTAATCATTAAGTTCACGGGGGAGCCCCCGTGTGAACAAGTTTTGTATCAATGAATACATCCGTTCTATTTTTGTGATAGAATCACTATCCATTTCTTGTTTTTTATCCTAGCATAGCTTTGTTTTTATCCTTTCTTTTTCACACCTGCCCGTTCATTCCGTAGGCTACAGCTTTTAAGAACCTGGACATGGCCCACGGGGCTCGGCTGCTCGTAACCGTAGGTCGTGGCGGGGTGCGTTCGGTTGGGAGTAAGAACAAAGTCACGGAGGGTAATCAAAGGAATGGAATGCGCTTTCGTTCGGAGACAAAGTTTTTATCATGTGATAGTAAAAAAGAGAGGTAGTATTTAGTATTGTACCCTCATGGAGCCCCCGAGCGACCCGGGCTGAAAGTGTTCGGCTAGGGTGCTTTACAGGAGCAAGTGTTGAATAAAAGCAGTAAGACCGAATTTAGGGGAAAAACGACGTAGCTGTTCAATATTCCAAGTGTTGGTGAGAATGTTGCCGTTGCCGTCCTTCAGTCGGTAGGCGCCGGGTCGGATCACCTCGGTCACCGTACAGGGTCCTTCCCATGGCAGAGAGAGTTTGTGTTTCTCCTTCGTTGATTGGGTCCTCCAGAGTATGAGATCACCGACTTCGAGGATCCTCCCCATGATCTTCCTTTCATGGTACCTGTGGAGAGTTTGCTGGTAGCGAGCAGAGCGGATGACGATCGTCTTGCAGGCCTCCTCGAGTAGGTCGACTATGTCTTGCTGAGCCTCCACGGCTCGGTCGTGGTCGGAAGCCTTCACTCTTGGGGCACCGTAGTCGAGGTCAAAGGGCAGCACTACATCAGCTCCATAGGCCAGGAAGAAGGGTGTGAACCCTGTGGATCAATTCGGGGTTGTTCTCAGGCTCTAGAGGATCGCTGGGACCTCTGCAACCCATTGCACGGCGTACTTGTTGAGTCAGTCGAAGATACGTGGCTTAAGTCCTTGGAGGACCATGCCATTGGCACGCTCGATCTGATCGTTAGTACGTGGGTGTCCGACCGAGGCCCAGTCGATCCTGATGCCGTATCCATTACTGAAGTTCAGAAACTTCTTCCTAGTGAAATTAGTCCCATGGTCAGTGATGATGCAGTTAGGAACGCCAAACCGGTAGATGATGTTGAGGAAGAATTTGACCGCCTCTTCCGAGCGGATGTCGGTGATGGGTTTGGCCTCTATCCACTTGGTGAACTTGTCGACCGCTACGAGTAGGTGAGTGAAGTTGCTCGGGCCCTTTTTGAGGGGTCCTACCATGTCGAGGCCTCAGACCGCGAATGGTTAGGTGATGGGGAAGGTTTGAAGCTCCTGTGTCGGCAAATGAGTTTGCCGAGCATAGAATTGGCATCTCTTACACCTGCGGACGACCTCCTCTGCATCTCATAGTGTGGTGGGCCCATAAAAACCTTAGCGAAAGACTTTTTTGACCAGCGACCTCGGGGCCACGTGATGTCCGCAGATCTCGGCATGGACCTCGAGGAGGAGCTGCTTCCCCGGGTTGGTAGGGATGCACTTCATGAGCACCCCCGATGGACTCCATTTGTAGAGTTCATCACCGAGCGCGAAGAAGGTCTTGGTGCGTTGAGCGATCCATCGGGCTTTAGTCCTTTCGGGTGGGAGAACCTCCTCGAGGAAGTAGGCGAGTAGTGACGCTCGCCAGTTGGTTTGATCGAGTGCCAATACGGCGATGTCAGTGGGTGACGTTGTCATAGAGGCACTGGGGTCGGAGCCCCCGAGTGCTGACTTGGCATCGGGGTCGGAACCCTCGGGCGTTGGCTTGGTGTCAGGGTGTGTCTGGATCGGACCTTCTAGGACGCGGGCGGATGGCTCATGAAGATCGTTGATGAAGATCCCGCTCGGAGACGGATCCCGCCTGGCGGCCAATTTTGCGAGAAAATCGACGGCATCGTTGTACTTTCGGGGGACGT